GTGAATAAAGTGTCAATTAGGTGTGGGACAACTTTAAGCAGTCCAATGTTCATGTAAAAGGAGTCCCAAAGGAGAGGAGAGGCAATAATGGCCAAAATCTCCCAAACTCTATGAAAATTCACCTAAGTATTCAAGAAGTTTAACAAGTTCCAAGCACAAGAGATCTGAAGAAAACTACACCAAAGTACACCATAATCAAATTGCTTACAGCCAGTGATAAAAACGAATCTCACATTTCATGCAAAGGAACAAATGTAAGGATATCAGCTGACTTCTGTGAGAAACAATGCAAGCTAGAAGATAATGGAGCAATATCTTTAAAGTACTAAAAGAAGAAACTATCAATCTAAAATTCTTTACCGAATAAAAAAGTCTTTCAAAAACAAAGGTGAAAAAATACCTCACCTCTTCAGCTGGCCAGTGTGGCTCAGTGATTGAGTGTCCACCCATGAACCAAGAGGTCACTGGTTTGATTCCCAGTCAGGGCACATGCCTGGGTTGCAGGCTCATCCCCAGTAGTGGGAGTGCAAGAGGCAGCTGATGAATGATGTTTCTCTCATCGATGTTTCTATCTCTCTATCCCTCTCCCTTACTCTCTCTCTCTACAAATCAATAAAAACATAGAGTGTGTGTGTGTGTGTGTGTATAAAGACCTACATAGATATACAACAGCTAAAATAATTTAATCACCAGCAAAAACACACAACAAAATCGTTAAAGGGTGTCCTTCAAGTAGGAAGAAAATGATATAAGATAGAAATCTGGATCTACATGAAAGAATAAAGAGCACTGGAAATCACAGCTACAAAAGTAAATATAAAAGATTCATCCTCATTTAGATCTCTTTAAAAATAAAGAGATGCTTGCCCAGGCATGGCTTAGCAGTTGAGCATCAACCTAGGATCCAGGAGATCGATGCTTGATTCCCAGTCAGGGCACATCCTTGGGTTGCGGGAGCATGCAGGAGGAGGCAGCTGATCAATGATGACTCTCTCATCAATGACGTTTCTATCTCTCTCTCTCCCTCTCCCTTTCTCTCTCTGAAATTAATTTAAAAAAAATATATTTTTTAAAAAAAATCAATTGCTTAATGCAAAAATAACAACAATGCATTGTGGAGTTTAAAGAGTAAAATGTATGACAATCATAGCACAAAGGCTGGGAGGGGAAAAACAGAAGTATACTTTTCTAAGGACCTTATACTATATGTAGTATATAATATTATTAGAAGGTAGACTGCAGTAAGTTAAAAAGGTATACTAGAAACCCTAAACAATCACTAAATTAGCACAACATATAAAGTTAATAAGCCAAAGGAGACAAGATGAAATAATAAAGAATACACAATTAATACAAAAGAAGGCATAAAGGGAGAAAAAAGGGGGGTAAAAAAAGGGGGATAGGGTAATGAACAGATGGGACAAAAAGAAAACAAATAGTAAGATGGTAGATTTAAACCAAACCATATCAATATCATATTAAATGTAAATTATCTAAACACACCAACTAAAAGGCAGAGATTATTAGGAAAGATAAAAAGGCAAGACCTAACTATATGCTGCCTACAGGCAACCCACTTTAAATGGGAAGACAAAAGTAGGTTAGAAGAAAAAGGATGAAAAAATAACTACCAAGCCTCTCTTTAAATAATCAGAATAAAGAGAATGGCTGTTGACGTAATTTTGATTCACATACGGCCATAATTCAGTAAAGTATTAGTACAATCTTGCACTCCTCATAATAAAGTTCACCATTTGTATGTGTTCACATGTCATTATTATCTCAATTACCTCAATAGTACCTCTAAATACAGCTAATTAAAGATTGCAAAAGGTATTACTAACCTGAGCTAAGAAGTTAGCAATCTGTTCTGATCAATTAGTAACTATAACATGTTCTCAAAGATGAATATGTTTAATAGTTTACCTCTATATAAACTGTAATTTCACTTAATACTGTGTATTAAGACAACAAAATCTGAGCCAGATGGCAGAGCCAAATACAATCGCATCTTAACATACCCCTTCTCTTTGGGAAAAGACTTAAAAGGCTATTGATTTTTCCTTCTGATAAGACATATTTAACCTGAATGTTTTAACATATCTGCATGGCTGTTTAACCACAGCCATTCATTAAAGAATTTGCAAATGAACAAATATCCCAGACATTGCACTGTTTATGCCAGGTGCTAAGGATACAAAAATCGATATTATGCTCTTGATTGACAAGTCTCGTAGGGACAGGGTGTAAATATGTTTTTGAAATGTCATAATATGCTACAAATTATACCTATAGAATGTTTATCCAATCTTCTCAAATATCTAAATGTAAGTTGTCAAATTTACATAGAATTGTTCATATTATTCCTTTATTGTACACTTTTGATGTCTGCAGGATCTGCAGTGACATTCCATTTTATTCCTGCTACTGAATATAATCTATGCCACGTTATTTTTTAATTTTTTTTTTATCAATCCTACTAGAGATTTGTCAATTTTACTGATCTTTTAAAGAAACCAGCACTGCCCTAGCCAGTTTGGCTCAGCGATTAGAGTGTTGGCCTACGGACTGAAGGGTCCCAAGTTCAATCCATCCAAGGGCAAGTCCCTCGGTTGCAGGCTCAATCCCCGGCCCTGGTTGGGGCTCGTGCTAGAGGCAACCAATCAATGTGTCTCTCTCACATTGATGTTTCTCTCTCTCTTTCTCCCCCTTCCACTCTCTCTGAAAAGCAATGTAAAAAGTGTCCTCAGGTGAGGATAAACACACACACACAAAAACAGCACTTTGTTTCAGTCATTTTCTCTAGTTTTTCTGTCAATTTCATTGATTTTTGCTTTTTATTATTTCCTTCCTTCTACTTACTGTGGTTTTGCTATTTTTCTCTACTTTTTTTGTTTAAAATATTACAAACGTCCCTTTATCTCCCCAATAACCCATTCCATCCCATCCCACCCCCCTCCCCAGTCCCTCTTCCCACCATTGTCCATGTCCTTGGGTTGTGCATATATGCACATAAATTCTTTGGTTACTCTCTCCCCCTCCACCCACCCGCCCTCCTCCATCCCTCTGACAATCGTCGGTCTGATCCATGCTTCCAGGTCAATGAATCCATTCTGTTCATCAGTTTATTAAGTTCTTTAGATTCCACATATAAGTGAGATCATGTGATGTTTGTCTTTCTCCGCCTGGCTTATTTCACATAGTATAATTTTCTCCAGGTCCATCCATACTGTCCCAAAGGGTCCAAGAACCTTCTTTACAGCTGCGTAGTATTCCATGGTGTATACGTCCCACAGCTTTTGTATCCACTCATCTACGGATGGGCACTTGGGCTGTTTCCAGATCTTAGCTATTGTAAATTGCACTGCTATGAACATAGGGGTGCATATATTCTTTCTGATGAGTGTTTCAGGATTCTTAGGATATATTCCTAGAAGTGGGATCACTGGGTCAAAAGGCAGCTCCATTTTTAATTTTTTGAGGAACCCTCATACTGTTTTCCATAGTGGCTACACCAGTCTGCATTCCCACCAGCAGTGTACCAGGGTTCCCTTTTCTCCACATCCTCACAAGCACAAGTCGTTTGTTGATTTGTTGATGGCAGCCATTCTCACAGGAGTGAAGTGATCCCTCATCGTGGTTTTAATTTGCATCTCTCTGATGATTAGTGACGTCGAGCATTTTCTCATATGTCTCTTGGCCATTTGTATGTTCTCTTTGGAGAAGTGTCTATTCAGGTCCTTTGCCCATTTCTTAATTGGATTGTTTGTCTTCCTCTTGCTAAGCAGTATGAGTTCTTTGTACACTTTGGAAATTAGCCCCTTATCAGATACATCCTTGGCAAATGTTTTCCCCGACCATGGGGTTCCTTTGTATTTTGAGGCTGTTTTCTTTTGCTGTGCAGAAGCTTTTTAGACTGATGTAGTCCCATATGTTTATTTTTTCTTTGGTTTCTCTTGCCCTAGGAGATGTATCAGTGAAAATTCCACTATGTGGGATGTCTGTGACTTTACTGCCTATGTTTTCTTCTAGGATTTTTATGGTTTCATGACTTACATTTAAGTCTTTTATCCATCTTGAGTTTATTTTTGTGTATGGTGAAAGTTGGTGGTCTAGTTTCATTTTTTTGCATGCAGCTGTCCAATTTTCCCAGCATCATTTATTGAAGAGACTGTCTTCAGACCATTGTATGCTCTTGCCTCCTTTGTCAAATATTAACTGACCATAATGGCATGGGTCTATTTCTGGGGACTCTGTTCTGTTTCATTGATCTATATGTCTGTTGTTGTACCAATACCAGGCAGTTTTGATTACAGTGGCTTTGTAGTACAGTTTGATGTCCAGCAAAGTTCTACATTCTTAAAGTGAGAGCTTAGATGGATGATTGGAGACTTTTCCTTTTTTCTAATTATGACTATTTAGTGCTATAAATTCCCCTCTGAAATTTAATTAGTTTCAGAAAAAGAATATGATATGGCTGCAAGTTTGAGAATAAATAGGAGAAATTTTAAAGACAACCAAGTGGAAATACAACAAATTACCAAGAAAAGAAAATTCTCCAAGGTAAGACACAGAAAATATTCAAACCCAGCTACAAGATAAAGGTATATTACTAAAACAATTCCTCAAAACAAAATGACTTGGGTTGAATGACTTCAAGTAAATGACCATAAAGTCAACCACACGTAAGAAGGAAAAATTGACACATGGAACATAACCCACCAAATGTGCATTACAGATAATGCAAGTCAGGGAGCAGGCAATGTAGAGGACAGAAAAAGTTTCAGAATCTCATTTTTCCAGTTAGAACTCTTAGATGAACTTCTTTACTACTCCACCAATTTCATAGATTCCCAAATGCTGCCCAACAGGAGCTGGGGCTGTACATATGTGAAGGATAAATGTGGAACCATAATAATTTCATTTGAGTTACCCCACTCCATGGAAAAATGTTAATTTTGAATATAATGTATGGAAGAATAAAATATCTTTTTGCTTACCCTCTGAGCTTTTGCAAGTTCTTCTTTCAATCTTTCATAGCCCTTTTCTCTGACTTCCAAAACAGATGGGCTTCGTAAGCGGGACAGACTATCAGTACTCAACCCGAAAATATCATCACTGCTATCACATGCTTCTGTTAGAGTAGCACCCTGCAAAAACTCCCTCTCTGCACTACAGTTGTCCTTTCTCGCAGTTAATTTAGTTAACCCAGCTGTTACTCCAGAGGTAGAACAAGGTGCTGGGTCTGTAACATGGATGCTGTAAAGGAGAGTTCAGAAAATATCAGCATATACTTAAATATAACTGGCATCAAACACAGGTCTAGAAACACTCTGGTCATAACCACACAGGTCTAGTCAATTTGGTAGCCATTATATTTAATTAATAGCATGTCCTCAGTCAAAGCTAACATGTTCTAAGTCCTTAATAGCTACATGTGGATAATGGCTGTCATATTAGCACAGAAAGAGAACATTTTCATCATCACAAAAAGTTCTATTGGAGAGTGCTACTCCAGAACAGGGGTCGGCAAACTAAACAGGCTAAATCTAGCCCACTGCCTGTTTTTATAAAGTGCACAAGCCAAAAATTATTTTTACATTTTCAAATGGTTACAAAAAATCAAAATAATATTCTGGCAGAAAAAAAACCAGTATGAAATTCAAAACTTGGTGTCCAAATATAAAATCTTACTGGAGTTTATTCATTTACATACTGTCTATGGCCACTTTTTCACTTTAACAGCAGAGTTGAATAGTTGCAATAGAAAGTACATACACTTTATGGCCCCAAAATCCTAAAGTATTGACTATTTGGCCCTTTACATAAAAAGTTTGCTGACCCCTGCTGTCAAGCATTAACATGTATTGCTCTTCATAGACAAGCTTATATGACTCAGATTTTCTAAAACACTAAAACTTAAAATAAGGTAACCAAGCAAACTGTACGTTTGTTTAATACGATACTCCAAAATAAGCATTTTGGTGATCTCCTACCTGATACCAGATAGTTCCGTACAATTTAAACGTCTTGGGGATGAATACACAGGTTGTGTAGGAAGGTCAGAGACATCTAAAGCATTAGCCTGGATAGGGGCAGAACATAAAGATGAAGGGAGAGGCCGGTAGATGACACCTGGTGAGGTAGTCGGCTCTAGAGCTCCCGATTCATACACGCCAAGAAGGTCCGGAGAAGTAGGTGAAGCAAGGTTTACTTCATGGAAGCCTTCCAAGGGGTCATTAGCCATAGTAAAAGCCTCATCATAAGATAACCTATCGTTAAAACAAAAAGCAGGTAATTATTGAGATAGTACCATTTAAAATTAAATAACGATGTATAATTATAGAATATGTTTAATAGTCCATTATAAAGTATAAACTTACAATAAAAGAAATAGCAAAAAAAAAAATTGCAATGATTTAGCAATTATTAAGTGACCTCAGAGTATAAATACTACAAAAGACAATCTGATTTGAAATAAACTTGAAAGTGATAGCTAATACTGTTAAAGCAAGTCATAAGTAACAATGAGAAATAAAAATTTGCCTGATATTTTTAACTCTGCTATAATGTGACATTGGTTAGAATAAGTAGAAGCAGTAAATATGTATATATGTATATATACATTTATATACATGTATAAATACATGCATTTATACATGTATATTCTGTCTACAGAATATACATATGTATACATATATACATGTGTGTGTATTAAGAACGAGACAGATATAAGTTCAACTCTCTGTTCTGTTCTGCTACATGCTGGCTATGTGACTTTGGATGAGTTAGTATTTTTTCTTTTCTTTTTCCTTTTGAAATAATTTCCAATTTACATAAGAGCTGCAGAGCTATAACATACCTTTCACAAAGATTATGAAACTGTTAACATTTTGGAACCATTTAAGAACAGGTTCCAGACCGATACCCATTATCCCTTAATGCCTTAGTGTATATATCCCTAAGTGCAAGGACAATCTCCTCTCTAACCACAAAGCCACCATCAAAGTCAGAAAGTTAATGTTGATCAATATTACCATCTAATCCACAGGACCTAGTCAAATTTCACTGATTGCCCCAATAATGTCCTTTATAGGCCTAGGATCCAATCCAAGATAATGTATCACATTTCTCTAAGACTTAAATTTCTCCTCTAATGAGAAGTTGCTATGAGGATTAAGGGAGGCAATCCACATAAAATACTTAGCAGTGTACTATGTACCTGGCACACAGTATGGCCTCAATAAACATTTGTTATCATAGAAAGCCATTAATAACAACATGTATGCTTCCATTTCTCCATAAGCAAAAACTATTTCCCATAACTACTCAATTACATCAGAGTTCACATGAAAACTAAAAAGTGTATCACTTAAAATTTCCACTTGAAGAATCTGAAAGAAGTCTTATAAATCCTTTACTGATTTCCCACTGTCTACAAAATAAATTCCAAACTTATTAGCTTGAAAACCAAATCCTTCTATTATCTAAACCAAACCTCTTTCCAATTTTTTCCTTCCTACAATAGTACCTAGATAGTCATAATATCTTCCCAGAGCTTCCCCAAATTACCAAACACAAGCACTAATGTAGCACTAAATCTCTTCATTAAATATTACAAAAACTTAGTCTTTAAGCTGAAAATTTTTACTCTCACATTCTTAATAAAAAGTGTTAAAAATAAGTCAAGTAAAGAATAACAAAGGCTACCATAAAGTTGGGAAAGAAGAGAGTTGACTAAATATTTACATATTCTCTCAAAATATTACAGATTACATGTCACAAGAATATATATATAAGCAATCAAAACTGTAACTACATCATCTACAAATGCCAAATTTCATATCCAATTAATGTTTTCTTTGTTGTAGCAAATAATACAGTCCTCAAAATGAAATTAGTCCTTTTTCACCCAAATTACTCATTATGCCAAATGAAGGATCATATTAATAAGAAATTTAAAGTGTTACTCAATTATAATTTACTATTTTTTCATCCAAGAGAACATTTTTTTATTCCTTATTCATAACACACACACACACACACACGCAAATATATACCAAACAAACATGTAACCCTGAGTATTTCATTTGAACATAGTTTACCAGTGAATTCACTTTAAGGTAGTAAATAGGGTTTTTATCAAACTTTGACATTTTATCAGTTATTATACTTTCTTCTATTCCATACTTCTACTTTATGTTTCTTCCTAAAGGGTCACTGAATCAAAGAATGTGAAAGTGTTTGCATTTCTGAAATGCAAAATGGTACAAATCCTATAGAGGAAAATTTAATATTTAGTAATATGACATGTTCATTATATCACCCAGCAAGCCCACTTTTAGGGCTTTGTCCCAAAGATAAACTAGCAAAAGAAAAAAGATGCATGCATATGGCCAGCAGTATTAGCAACAGACTGCAGTCTCGTAATAGCAAGACTAACTGAATGAACTAATGTACATCCTCTAATGAAACACCTTGCAATTGTAAAAAAAGTGAGTAATATCTACATACTGCTATGAAGTGATCTTGAGGATATACTGACAAGCTAAAAAACAAAATAAATAACTGTATAGTAAGCTACCCTCTATCTAGGAAAGGAGAAAATACAAATTTACTCATTTATATATATAGGAGTGGGCAAAAGTAGGTTTACAATTGTAACACAAATAATACAATAATTAATAAATAATACAAGAATAAATTGTTTCATGTACTCACAACTGGAAATCTACTTTTGCCCACCCCTTATATATGTATATACTTATATTTTAGAAATGAAAGAATAAACCAAAACCAATAAAAATCACTACCTATAGAAAGAGGTAGAGAACAGAAAAGGGATCAGGAATGAAAGCTAGACTTTTCCAAACTGACCTTGCCTTGTAGATTTGAATCTGAGCCTGGAATCATGTAAATAATAAAACAAAATTAAATTTTAAAAAAGAATCCCTAAAAATAAAACAAATGAACCCAGCTATATATTGAGATGGTAGCTTAACCACATAGAAAAAAGCTACAGCAAATGACTTACAACAGTAATAAAAGTGTATATTCCTAATGGAATACAGTCTAAAGGACCAAAGGAAATGAAAAAAATCGTAAACTATTTTCAGTAATCCTATTAGTAGTAATGCTGATATTGTTATTCTGAAACTATTATATATAAGATTAAGCAAGTAAATTATGTTAATGTTATTCAGAACTAAGATTTTTACCATATGAGAAGACACAATCATAAAACCATAGAAGTAAAACTCTGAAGTCCTAAATTTAAAAAAATTTTTTTTTAATTTATCTTTATTGTTGAAACCATTACAGATGTTCCATTTTTCCCCTGCATTGATCTCCTCCACCCCAAGTTCCGACCCATCCCCAGGCCTTCCCCATACTATTGTCTGTGTCCATGGATTATGCATTTATGCATAATATGTTTTTATTGATTTTTTTAGAGAGAGAGGGAGCACAGAGAGATAGAAACATCTTTTGAGAGAGAAACATCAACTGGCTACCTCCTGCAGGCCCCCTACTAGGGATTAAGCCTGCAAGTTGGGCACGTGCCCTGACGGGGAATCCAACCCGTGACCTCTGGGTGCATGGGATGACCTTCAACCAACTGAACTATACCTGCCAGGGCTGCAGTCCTAAATTTTGATCAGAAATATCAGAGAAAAAAATTCTATTAAAAAAATAATTCCTAACTTTATCCACTGAAAAGGTGTAGCAATAGTAACCAACTCAGGAGCAATGAGTACCCTTTGTGCCCAGAGTAATGTCATTTCCTATAAAAAAATAATAATAAAATAATAAGATAAAATAGGAAAGA